ATGTCTTGACTGATCTTTGAGTTCAGTGGAACCATTTTCACCTTTTGCTGAACGTGTTATAGTCTGAAAACTGTCAGAGGATGTTGAGATTTGTGAATGCAATTGGCAGAACTAGGTCTTAGATACTTGATGCTTTGAGTTAGTTGATCTAGGTGGTGGAGTAATGTTTGTGGGAGATAATTTAATGGTTTGACTGGTCTTTGGGTTCAGTGGGACCATTTTCATCTTTGGCTCTATGTGCATAGTCTGAACCTGTCAGAGAATATTGAGATTTGTGGATGTAATTGTCAGAACTAGATCTTAGGTATTTGATGCTTTAAGTTAGTTTTTCTAGACCATGGAGTATTGTTTGTAGCTGAGAGTCTGATGTTTTGACTGATCTTTGGGTCCAGTAGGACCATTTTCACCCTTTGCTGAGTGTGTTATAGTTTGAACCTGTCATAGGATGTTCATATATGTGGAAGCAGTTGATAAAAATAGTTCTTAGGTACTGGATGCTTTGGATTGGTTATTCTGGATTTTGTAATATTGTTTGTGGGCAAGAGTTTAATGGTTTGTTTGAACTTTGGGACCATTTTTATCACTCACTCAATGTTGTAACTTGAACCTGTTAAAGAATAGATGTTTATATTAGAATAAGTGGATGTGATTGGAAGAAATGGTACTTGGGTACTTGGTCCTCTGAGTTTGTGAAGATATCTGAATTGGACTTTGATTTAAATGAGACCCCTTTTGATCTTGTGCAGAATTTCTTATATCTTCAACATTTGGTATCACTTGACAACACTTGACATCTTCAGCATATAGACAGTTTAATAATGAATTCAAAAATTCAATGGCTTTCAGACTATGTACAAAATCTCATTAAAGTTGTAGATATTATTGTTTATGGCTATTATTTGGTCACTTGCTTTTTCTAATTCTTTAATTTTTTTTTTTTTTTGAGATAGTTGTCTTGATTGCATTAGATGTTTAGATGATGATTCCATTTTTGACCACACACTGAATTTCTTATAGCAAGATTTGACAGATGCACACCTCACATAATGGAAATTCAATACTTTTCCTGCTACGTATGGTCTCTGATTCAGCTAATAAAAGTCCAGGCAACTGAATTGAATTAACATGATTATGTAATTAATTCGACACTAGTCGATATTTCGTCCTGGTAAATGGGATTTTATTATACTTATCTGTCACATTTTTCAATAAATCTTGACACATTTTCATTCGAATATCGAAATGCGCATAAAAATGGGCAAAAATGGAAATGGTCGAGGTTGTCAACCTAATTTCGGATCAAGAGAAGACAGATTGTGGGTCAAGTATGACACATCTTCGATATTTTATTATTATCCACTTGTTCTGAATTTTATTCTGTGTCCGACGACATTGAGGTAATTAAAACAATTAATCTAATAACTGCACAATATTCTTCACCATCGTTAAATGCTCGATTAAGTTAATTTCACATTACCTGTCATACTAATCGATTCCTCTAAAAAAAAAAAAAATGTGTCAATGTATGTGTCAAAAAATTTCACTTTCGAAATTTATAAAATTACCAACGATGTACCATTCTATCCCAAGATAAATAATTTCCACGAAGCTATATGACTATTGGATGACCAACACAGCATCGAATAAATCACATTGTCCGGCTAGGCCAACAAACATTACTCACTATAAAAGTTCTGTAAAAGTTATAACACCAGTCGTGACTAAAATATATTTCGGAACATGATCGATGTCTACTCGCGACAAAAAGTTCGGAAGCATCGAACAATTTAATATTATTTCCCCAAACAATAAAATAAATCATAATTTATAATTCAATTTATACAGTATTAATTAGAGTAATACAAGGTTAATGGTAGTTCAGGTACCTTTATGATGATCAAACATAATCACTAACTAATAAAAATAACTAACTAATTTAATTTAAAACTAATTTAGAACTGCTAAACAGTTCATAGCCAAAGTACTGTCAATAATTATAAACAAATGCACCTAGAAATTACTATAATTACTAATTTAAAACGAACATTAAAAAATCTTCATCATCCACTGCTAAATAGTTCATAGCCAAAGTACTGTCAATAATTATAAACAAATGCACCTAGAAATTACTATAATTCCTATAATTTCTAGGATCTTTTTCACAAAGAAATAGTAATCGTTTATAGTTAACAGACGAGCCTGTGATGGTGGTTGGAATCATTTCCAAACAGTTCATAGCCAAAGTACTGTCAATAATGACAAACAAATGCACCTAGAAATTACTATAATTAATATAATAATTATAATATAATTACTATAATTCCTAGGATCTTCTTCACAAAGAAATAGCAATCGTTTATAGTTAACAGGTGAGCCTGAGATGGTGGTTGGAATCATTTCCAAACAGTTCATAGCCAAAGTACTGTCAATAATTACAAACAAATGTACCTAGAAATTTCTATAGTTAATATAATTACTATAATTTCTAGGATCTTCTTCACAAAGAAATAGCAATCGTTTATAGTTAACAGGTGAGCCTGTGATGGTGGTAGGAATGATTTCTGGACCTCACTGTACATACCCTGCACGTGCTACGTGTTCTTATATTCTTCGCGAAGCTGCAACGCGACGTTTCTTCTATCAGGGAATACAATTCGCTTTAGAAGTGGCACGATAACTCGCTTTGTTAAGTTCAGAGCCAGGGGTGGGCGTATAAAAATCGCGGAGCTCGTGAGACAATGCTGGACCGTAGCTTTGACATTTCATTCCGTGGCAGAAGCGCGGGGAACAAGCTTCTTGCTTGTCATTAGAGATAATTCCGGTGCGTGGACAAAGAAAATGGCGACGGTACCCAGCGTCCGAGAGATAGGGGAGAATGTTAATAGCGTTTAACCGAGGAAAGAGATAGAGGGATGCTGGGATGAGAAATAATTCCTGATACACCGACAGCGTGGCGAATAAAATTCTTGACAAATTCGAATTGCCCCGTGTTTCGTGAAACATGCTGTAATATCCCTGAGTTCTTTTATTATTTTCCCTGGCTTGGGCTGGGATCCCCTTTGCCTCTGCGTGCTCCTCTTTTATCCTCCAGCATGAGAACAGTTTACTATGCATGGCTGACGTTGGGATTTTTATTTTTTCAAAAATTCTAAACAGTTTCCCTTCTTTATTTCCCTTTTATTTATTTGGTGGAAGAAATTGTTCTTGATTTTCGTCTCGTTAATTAGATTTATTTTTCTACCCTCCGTGATGCAAAATGTACGAGCGTTAATGTATCGAACTAACATAAACGATATTATTTTGTTTCCTGTATTTTGCTATATCGTGTAGTACAATTTAAGGTATTCAGAATATGAATTAATATTTTTATTATAATTTACTATTTCTCAGTCCCTCGTTTTTAATTTTCATTATCAGGATAGGTTGCACCGGATGGTACGATCGAAGGTCATCACGTTGCAAACCTGTTCGATTTTAGCACTAAATTTCTCGACACGCGAACGTTTCGAACATTGACACGTCTATGAAACCTCTAAAACGATGAAATATCATTCGCATTTTGCTTTTTCACTCGTATATACCCGTTTCCGAGAGATCGAATGGAGAAATCGGTATCTGCGTGGTTTCCATCGCTCTGGAATATTTTCGAAAACGTCGATAAATATAAATTTGATAAAATCGAAATTATCGATTATCAACCGTAACATAATCCTCACTTGGGCATCATAGAAATGAATTTATATAAATTTCGTGACATCCAAATGAGATTAAAAAGGGAACACAAATTTCGAATAATTATTTAATTAATTTATACTTAATTATGGAAAATAATTTTATGGGAAATCATTATAGAATATAGAACATTATAGAAAATTTGATATAAAAATCCTAGTATCTTTTTCACAGGAAAAGAATCTGTTATATATTTCTACAAAATTTTCATCTTCCTAATCCGCAGTTAACTACTCGAAATTAATTCTCCTGTTACATGCCTCTCAAAAATCGAGTGATCCCTGAATAATTCTCCCCCCTCGAAACTTTGTCGAACTTCCTTTAAGGCTTTAACCAAGTTTCCCGGAGATACACGAACTTCCTGTTCGTTTACAACGATATTTCAGCGAGACTCTTCAGAATGAATTCCTCCCTTTGAGAATTTTAAGGGCCTCTCGTAAATAATGGAACGCAAAAGAGATACAAACTTCGCCCCTTCTCGCAGGCATTGGGATTCCCTTCGCCTCGGCAGGTCGATTCGCCGATCCTGCTTCGAGAATCGGTAACCTCCAGGCACTTCGGCCAGCCTCTACGAATAATAGGTTAACCATAAGCAACAGGCAGCCACGAACTTCCACTTTGTGCAGGCATTAAAACTTCTTTCCTATCCCGTAGCTCGATCTGCTTCTCCAGCACTCGAAACAAATAATTGCATAGGAGTCTCGTGAACTTCCTTCGAGATACTGCAACTCTAGAGGCTTGAACTTCGCCTGTCTTCGCTTCTCGACTCTGACACACACCTTTAGAATAAATAATTCAACCCAGGTACGATAATCCAGCTTTACTTCTTGCCGTTACATCCTCGAGATACCACCTTCGTCTATTCACCCAACGATTAATCGAAACTTCGCCCTTTGTTGCCTCTAGAACTCACCCAAGGCTCCTTTCGCGATGCACCAATCCTAATTCACGTGCTCGAAACTCGTACCAAGTCTTTGATAATTTGTGATCGAGATATAAATACTCCATTTCGAAAAGTCCCATCTCTTCCTGTATGTATTTTTCATTTTCGATGCAGTTCGAGTGAGATAGATGCTCATAGACGTCGCTGTGTTAGACTGAGATGGATTTAGGTGAGAAAGAGGATGAGATTGATCTGAGATGAAGATAGGCAAAGTGGTAGAGATAGTCGATGATTGGATGATGCATGTAACGGGTCAGTGTACCTGATAATACACTAACCTCCCGGTGGTGGACCCTGCGGGCCACCCAGCCATCCGGAGGACCAACCTGCTGTTCCTCCGATATTCTGCTGCTGCTCTGCCAGCAACCTCACCGTCAACGCGTACGTAAGCAGCATCACACCCAGCGGTATGTAAAAGCAGATTATGCTGCCGATCAACTTGTACAGTGGGTCCGGTATTTGGCACGCGCCGTCCACCAGCACGGAATCGTCCTCCTGCAACACCAGGACACAGGATTATGCACTTAGGCTCGCGATGTTACTCCGTTTCTATGCCGTTACTTTGTATCTGCCTAGATTCAGGGAATGACAATGTTAGGTACTATGGATCTACGAGCCATGGATCTACTGGTAGCCAAAGTTAGGGGGTATCGGGTGAAATTTTGCAATATTTCTCAGGCTGTGTGCATAGATGAGAATCTTGTAGAGATAAGAAGGTGGCTAGCAGGATCAGCTACTTAACAGTGATAAAGTTAGGGTTATTTTGATGCAAACTGGAATCTTAATTATCAAACATAAGATATTCTTAACGCTAGAACTACCGATCTTTAGTGGGCACCTAACTATAACGTGCACAGATTATAGTAATTTCAGAGAATACGATGAATATGAGTGAATATATTGATTGCAGTTCTTTCTTAATGTGAGTTGATACCAATTTTATTCTTAAAGCAGGTTGCGAGTAAATGGATAAACTAATAAGAAGATTTATTTAATGCAATAACAGCACAACACAAATTATAACTAAATCTCGTAAAATAAATTCGCTTCTAACTGCGATATAATCTCTCGAGGACTACCTCACACACAACGTCACACACATCCTTCGACACAAACATTCCTCACACTCATACCACATATTTTATGACAACCACTACCACAATTTTGGTGTAAGCATCCTGACTGCTAATGTAGATTGTAAACTGGAATCTCAATTATCAAACATAAGATATTCTTAACACTAGAACTACCGATCTTTAGTGGGCACCTAACTATAACGTTGCGCAGATTATAGTAATTTCAGGGAATACGATGAATATGAGTGAATATATTGATTGCAGTTCTTTCCTAATATGAGTTGGTACCAATTTTATTCTTAAAGCAGATGTATGTGTTCGGTGATAGCAAAAAGGAAAATTCTGGGACCAGTCGGTAGCTCTAGTGTTACGTATTGTAGCTAACTTCGGAAATCACGTGACTATTCAGTAACGACGTATTCTATACAAAAATGGGAGAATGATTGTCAGAGTATTAGGAATTGACCAGTTTTTCCTTTCTTCGTCTATACTTAGTGCCTCACATTAGAGAATCCTTCTCAGAAGTTTCAGCTCTGACACTCTGGTGGTACTAGGCATGTTTTCCCAAGTCTAACCCAATTACGAAAAACAATCTTCGATATGATCGATGGTGCTCGCTAATGTTGCCTCTAATTACCTCCGCGAACATCATACATCATCCCGAAGCCCCGAGCTAACGTAAGATTTTGTTGTCTGTTGCAGAACACCGGAGCAATGTCCCAGCGTGGTTTCCCTGCTCGCGGAGAGCTACAATCCTCACGTGAGGTACGGAGCTGCGATGGCCCTCGGGATCGCGTGTGCCGGCACTGGTCTGAAGGAGGCCATGGCTCTGTTGGATCCCATGACGAACGACTCGGTGAACTTCGTCCGCCAGGGTGCGCTGATTGCCTCTGCGATGATTCTGATCCAGCAGACTGAAGCGACGTGTGCTCGCGTGAAGGACTTCCGGGCCCTATATGCTAAAGTCGTGGTGGACAAGCACGAGGACGTGATGGCCAAGTTCGGCGCCATTTTGGCGCAGGGTATCATCGACGCTGGTGAGTAACTCTCGACGCTAGATGGCGCCGATAAGCTTCTTTCTATCATGTTCTCGCGGGAAATAGAACGGATCGTCGATCAAAGATTCTTATTGAGAGGCTTGTCGTCTCTGACAGGAAATAGCGATATCGGCGCCCTCTATTGGGCGTTTATCGCTCCTTTGATGGGCTGTTATTCGTCTGGCTGTTGTTCAATGACGGAACCGGAAGTTGAAGACTTCCTGTAGCTGTATTTGACACGTTGGATGTGTTTCGATGGCGGATGGTCTCGGATTTGGTTTATTTGCCAGAGGATCTTCAGATGAAGGATTTTCCCGTTTCTTTGTAATATGGCAACACTATTTTGGGCACTAGGGGATAGTTATTATTCTAATTTTTAGAATATTCCTTTTGGAATATTTTGTTGCACTTAGATTTAAGATTATTTATTTCTTTTTTGATTACAATAATTTAGATGGTATATGATCTGTTTTGGTGTATTTTGTAACATTTGCTATATTTTCAGTCATTTTTATGCAAGATGCTTTGAAATAAATATCATTATTCGTAATGATATGAAAAGAGGAGAAAGGAAACACCGAAAATAATATTATTCCAAGTTTATTCGTAAATATAGTAAAATAAGTACAGAAATATTTAAGAATTTAAGTTTTGATTTAACACTGTCATAAATTTAAGATAGTATTGGTTAGATCTAGTGCAATAAAATTTGAAATTGGTCAGAAATAGGAATACAATTTATGTTTCTGAAATTTAAGTACATAAAAAGGTATTTCAAACAACATAAAACGTGATCAATAACTGTTTTAACTTAAAAAGAATTGGTTTAATGCACCGATATAAGGAATACCATTAAGAGCACCATCTACACCTTCAGCGACGAATTAATTACGGCGAAGTAATTTTATAAGTGTAGATAGAAGAGGTAGTCGCTGTACACACCATTAATACTTTAATATATACAGTGTCTCGAAACGAGTGTAAAAAGACTTCGAGAGGCTGGTAAACAATTCTAAGCAAAGGTCATGAACATTCCATCCTTAAGTTGCAATTAAAAATAATTTTTATTAATCCTGTCAGCATCCATATTTGTTACGATACTGATAACGTTAAAATTTTGAACTGTTGTAATTGAGTGACATAGTTATGAAAGATCCATTCCATTAATTCTCCATATTATGTCAATTTATTTGTGTATATTAATAATTTCGTAAATTCTCAAAAAATTGACCAAACTTTTCGTGTTTACAAGGTAGAAGTTTAATTGAGATGGTAGCGTCTAATAACGAGCTTTCCCGATGAATTCCTAACCTATTCTTGTCAGATAGATAACAGTAGTCATCTATCTATGCATTCGCTAATCGTTCATCGCACCTTTCAACGCAACAACGATAACGATTTCAGGCGGTCGTAACGTGACAGTATCGCTGCAATCAAGGACAGGCCACACGAACATGCTGGCAGTGGTCGGTGCATTGGTCTTCACGCAGTACTGGTACTGGTTCCCATTGGCACACTGCCTGGCTTTGGCCTTCACCCCGACCTGCCTGATCGCTCTGAACGCTCAGCTGAAGATGCCAAAGCTGGAGTTCCGTTCGAACGCCAGACCAAGCGTCTATGCCTATCCTGCGCCACTCGAGGAGAAGAAACGCGAGGAAAGAGAGAAGATCACGACTGCAGTTCTCAGCATTGCCGCCAGGGCGCGCAGGCGCGAGTCCGAGAGGCGCGCCCGTGATTCTCACGAGAAAATGGAAGTGGTTAGTTTCTGAAAATGGCTGCCCCCTTCTAGCACAGAATTTCTCGCAATTAAAGGCATGGTTGCTTGGCAACACAAGCGAAATCCCATGAGAATTGTCTGAGAAACTACGAATTTCGAAATTTTCAATATTTTTAACGCTTTAACTTCCAAAAATCATAATTTATAATTCTAAACATTCCGAATATTTAATTCTACGAAGCTTGGGTTTTAAGGTTCTTAAAAATTTGGAATATTTCAACTGCGTAAATTACAATATAGGAAATTTAAAAATGGAAGATGTATATAGGAATTTATCTTGCGCTTAGGGTCAAACATAACCTCATAATATTTTATTAATATTATATTATCTTTATACTGGAAGATGTATCTAGGAATTTATCATGCTCTTAAGGTCAACCATAACCTCTTAAACATTTTACAAGTTGAAATACTTCACAATTTTTTCCCACCACACTGCTCTATCTCTTTTTACTTTTACTCCTCTATTTTTTGAGGTTATGTGTAACGTTCTCCTAACAAAAGAATAATCCGTGATAGTATTAATGATAGAGCTAGGTGAACGTTGCATTCGGATTAGCGTCTTTCTCTTTCATTTCCGTTGTTTAATTTTTAATCATAGGATCCACCGGAAACTACGAAAGAAGTTGCCGAGGTAGCTTCGAAGGAAAAAGAGGAGAAGAAGAAGGAGAAGGAAACGAAAGAGACAAAAGAAACCAAGGAGACGAAGGAAGCAAAGGAAACGAAGGAAGCAAAGGAAACGAAGGAAGCAAAGGAAACGAAGGAAACAAAGGAAACGAAAGAAGTAAAGGAAACGAAGGAAACAAAGGAAACAAAGGAAACGAAGGAAACAGAGAAGGCAAAAGAAACGAAAGAAGTGAAAGACACGAAAGAGAAAGTGGAGAAGAAAACCAAGGACGAGGTTGAGAAAGTGGAAGAGAAGAAGAAGGAAGCTGAACCGAATTTCGAGATTCTTCAGAACCCAGCTCGTGTGCTGAGACAGCAACTGAAGGTAATACAACTAGTGGAAGGAAGTCACTACGTGACAGTCAAGGACATTCAGATTGGAGGTATTGTCATGGTGAAGCACATCCAGTCAGACACTGAAGAGGAACTGGTGGAGCCAGTGGCAGGTAAGTCCATGTATTTTGGAGGAATAAATTTATTTTATTTACTTATTTCTTTATTATACCAATTGCTTCTTTATAGGAAATTTAATTTCTTGTTAAATAGTTGTCCATGTATGTAAATTACAGTAATGTATGGTTAACCCTTTGACTAAGGCAAACTTTGGAACGTACCAGATATACCATATGCTAAGAATCCATTTGCAATGTACACTAAGAAAGATGAAACTTTTCATTAAGTATGCATTTCTGAGAAATTATTGTATATTCAAATAATAATCAAAACACTATATTTTACTACAGTAAAACAACATTATTTATTTCTTTGTACACTGCATTAAATTGTTACTTTTGAGTGTCTTTAGGTGCCCACAGTAGTCAAAGGGTTAATGATTAACTCATACAAGTTAAAATCATTTGTATTTAATTCAAAAAGGGAACAATGGAGTTTGTTTTATGAAAGTTTCTTCAGTGACAAATTTTGGTATGATAAAACAAGATTGGTTAATTGATTAATCCATTATCTATTTATTAAACAGGTTTCATAATGAATTGAAACAATGTACCATTTGTAAATTCATTATTTAATTCTTTCTGATAATAATCTTATAATAATTAACAATGATAATTGTTCTTAGTCCTGTTCATTATCAACTATCAATCTAAAGAAACATAACTTATCTGTGAAAACGAGGTAAATTACAATTCTCTTCTATACTTTTTTAAAAGTATTTCCATCTTGAAGAACAATTATGTAAAGTTAATTGTTCAATTTTTGCCACACGTGTTATATCTTCTTGCTTTACAAGGGTTATTACGTTTGGTCCAATTATCATCGTTATTCTAGCTTATGGTCCTCATCCCGAAGAGGAGCAAGAAGCAGAGCCACCAGAACCATTCGAATATAACGAGGATTAAGGTATTACAGAAGACCTTCCTGTGGCGCCATCTTTGCAGCGCTCGTCACTCATTCACTTATATTCACGATAGTTCGCTGTCAGTAGAAGTAACACTGTGAAAAATACTGTCGCCGTTTTCTTTACTACGCCAGTACGGCTATAGTAGTACTTCCTTTCATATTTTTTTATAGTTAATTTCTCGTCATCCAGCGATCGTTTCACGACTCGATAGCGTTTACCACCGAATCGCTGTTCCGTTCTATAAAAATTTAATAAATAGATAATTTGCTCTCATCATACTTGCACTTGTTATTTATTATAATCCTGATCTCTCTCTATATACATGTATGTATATTGAAGCCAAAGAATCGAAGAAAAAATTGTACAAACGTAACATCATTGAGAATGGTATGAAGTTTTGTTCAAAGGTTTTTGTTCATTCTCCTGTTAACTTTGTACTAAATTTTTGTGGTTTTTTTCAAGCAAATGTATCGGCAGTTCAAAGCAACCTTTTAAAGTGTATCGTTTTTTCCTTTGATTTTGGCAAGAAGAATATGGAATTGAAAGCTAGAGTATAGTTTCATGCGGATTATTTTTATGGTTATTTTTGGAACGTAAACAGCTTTAGGTATAAAAATTTTACGTTCACGAAAAATTGTAAATTTCTCTTTATTAGAAAAAAAGTTCACGGTTACAAACATTGAAGAAATAGTGTATTTTTTAATTAATATAGAAACAGTAGTATTTTAATACGTAACCTAACAATTTATTTCTTGGAACTTTAAACTATGAAAAACATTAAATATTGTGAAATTTATACCATTATTGTAGAATGAATTATGTACTAAAATATCCTATATTATTTTTTATATTTCATACTTGTGCAATAATAGTGTATAAAACTATCCTTCTTTCTCCATTTCTCTCCCTCTCTCTCTCTCTCTCCCTCTCTTTCCCAATATTAAAACGTCATAAATTAATAATCATGTTATTCCTTGTGTTAAAATATACCATATGCAAATACCGTGTGTTTCAAAATAATTTTCAAAATGGCTCAAACAAATACAATTTTGAGGTTATAATTTTGGTAATTTAGATATTACGACGACTAGTTCTAACCTTAAACGAAATCGCTATCAATGCTATTCGATTGGTGAGATTGGATGAAATCTGCGTGAAAGGCATACCTCCTATTCATCTACCTAACCCTTTATCGATATCGTTCGCTTTGACGAAATATTGGCGTGTCGCAGAGCGTTTGACGGATGCCTTCACCCGGAGCTTTCATCCATAACGATCAACTGGCGTATGGTCGGCAAACGAGCGAACATCTGGTTTGAATTCGTGATTCCATGTGAACTCGAAATAAAGGTTAGTACCTGGGAGAAAAGCGGCATGTTTTCGCGGGATAGAAGAGCTTGCTTCATTGTCAGTCAATAATGATGAGACACCCATCAAACGTGAAAGCAAAGTCTATAAACGGCACCATGAAACTTCGTTTATTGACGCGCGTGATACGCCTTCATAATTCGTTAACTGGGACGAAGTAAGGTTGATATAATAGAGAACAAGGGAAAACGTGACTTACACCTTTATCATATATCCTATTTTGTTGGAATTTTGTTATGACTATCTTAAGAAGATGATAAGACAGTTGTAGAGAATGTAGGTATACAGCAGAGTGAAAGTGAGAGAGAATATAGTTGTTTTGAAACTTGAATTATGTTGCTTGTACCGTGTTGTTTGTATTTAAATATATTAAAGGAGTGCAAAAATGTAAAGAAAATAGAAATTGTTATTTATGGAATGGGAACTGAAGTATCAGAAATATATAACTTATTCCTTTCTTAGTGAACAGTTATAAAGTTAGTTACATTATAATACTAAGTATTACAGATATTGAGAAATAGTATATCAATATTTGCAAAAATGGAGTTATATTATGTGAATTGTGTTGCTTATGTTCAAATAAACAACAAAAATATAGAAATGGCAAAAATGATACATAATCATTTTGTTTGAGAAAGTGAGAGATAGTAATTTACAAAGTGATAATAGAAGTAATACCATATACAACTTATTTCTTTCATCCTGGACATTTATTCACTATATTGGTGATATATTAATACCATATTATAATAAAAGTATGATCTCACTAATTACGAATAGGTACTAAAAAAGAATTATGCTATTATTAATCTTACAGATTCAACTGTACTGTCAATAATGAAAGTTTGATTGAAATTTTGTTTGTTTCTCCTTTCTTAAAATAATAATTGATAGCAAATATTTAAAATTATATATATATTCATTTTTTGTAACCATTAATATTTCTTTTTAAAACATATTTCCACTGAAAAGTCTTAAATTTTAGATACAAAATTACTCTCATTTACCAGCGTCTATTACTGTATGAAATAAATCATAGTTTGAATGAAAACACACTTTTATGGCTTATTCTATCATTTACTGCTGCAAAATTCACTTATTCTACATGTCAGGTATATATGAACTCACTTATTTTTCATCGCATGTCAATAAAAGTTGAATGCAATCATTGAATTCATTTCAGTTGTATCAAAATTTTCAGATATCGTATACAATTTTATTAAAAACAGGAAATAGAGCATCAATTTTTATATCAGCAAATATAAAAGACGAACTTTTTTATTTTAATAGTTTCTTTAATTATTGCTTAGAATTGAATAGATTAACTTTTGACATACAACATTAGTGTTGAAATAATGTGAATGTAATAATTAATTACTTTACAAAATTCCTGTTTCTAATACATCATTATGTTTCTATTTGTAATACATTTGCGAGAATTAAAGTAAATTAAATGAAAATTTACTTACAGCAGTTGATTTGTAATTTCACGATCGAAGAAATTTCTTAAAATTCAATTAACAGGTTAATAAACCAGATACCACTCGAGTCAATATTTGAAATAAATATTATGTAGTAATATAATTTTTTCTCCGATATAACAGAAAATTTCTACTTTTAAGAGAATATCAGTAATAAGTAGCTTTAAACAAATTTTACCACTTTTCAAGTGTAATCACGTAAACCAACCATTTGAAGAAAATTGGACGTGAAATGACTACTGCGCTGCGATTGGTTTCGTGCAACTACACACTGTTATCTTTCTCTATGTATGTAAACAGTACGTTATGAGCGGAGAATGTGAATAGACGTGTTTGAAGTGCGTGGGTAGCAAAATGCTTGCTTTATACGTAATTTTATGTTCGAAAGACTGTCTGAAGATTGCTTGTGTGTCTGAGAATGTTTTATCGTAAACTAAAGCTTTCATTCAATAGAAATTTTGCAGTTTAAAACGTGTAATAACTGTAATTTGTGAATAGAATTCCTCTATTGAAATGTGAATGCGAAGTAACCGCCATGATGGTAAATTTCGCGCGTTTTGTAGCATCGAAATGACGTATTTAAAGAAACCGTTCTCAAATAATAATCAACGAATGTGAAGAAAATAGCACACCGACATTTGGTAAGTGTTTAACGTCTTTTATAAGCGTATATTGCTTCTTTAATCCTTATATCATAGAAAGAGTGAATTGACATATTGCAGTGCCGTATAAATTTTCAATCGATTAAATATTATTCTATACTTTCCGATATAATTTTTTACGGTAAAATACATCGATAAATATAGCGGTATGAGAGTTTCGCGAGTTCTCAGTATGCAAAGGTAGAGTGTAATGATTAAGTGAAATACATCAAGTTTGAAATCAGCCCACCACTCAAACAAACACTTTACAGTACACGCTATCGATTATTAATTTCACGTGTGGTGCGTTGGCGCCAATTTCATGCATGCTACGCGTTTCAAATGAAACGCGCGAATTACCATTTGAAATTCGAATTTCCATAGGCGAAACAAGATTCAAAATTCATAGTTCCTACGTGTGCATGGTAGTGTTCACGCACGAAACAACTCATACCGTTATTATTCGCGAGTGTAGAGTTGAATTTGGAACGCGTTAGACTATTTGCGAACCTTTTCTATCTTATTTAACACCGTGGATCGAGCTTTTCGTCTCGCGTGAGAATACACCACGTGCTTAACAAAAACATCCGCCCTTCTTTAGTCGCGTGCATGGCGAAAATACAATCCCTTCCGCTGTGGGACCACGTGTATCGTTTTCGACGTTTCCTTCTTGAGAAAATTACAATGGCGCGAAGATTGATGGTTGATCAAAGACGAATTATTGAAGATTGTGGGTTTCATTACGTGAGAATTGTTTCTTGCCATGTTTCAACACTCTCTGAACAGAATTTTATTTCTAGATGAGAAAAGAATTCCACTTGATGACAGTTTTTTGTTTTAATTTGTTATATTAAAAGCACTATAATATTTCAAATAATTATATTAACTAATTATATTTCAATAAAAAAAGAACTATAATTAATTATATTCTTCTTTCCATGGGCTATTAAAATTCTGAGTATAGACATTTGAATATCGGGAAAAGGGAAAAATTGGGCTGCAATTATACAGATTCAGAGTTAAAAATTTTTCAATTACTGTTCTTCTTCATTATTCCATTGTGTGATACGTATTATTTGTTTTAAATTTTATATGATCCTTTCTATATGTGTATCTCATGCATTGAATTCTGCATTGAAATTTAATCAATGCAATTTTTCCCGTCTTTCCTGAAACAGTATAATTTTTCAATAGAAAATTTAATTAAATTAATTAAACACGTTTGACGAATATAATACAAATACGTGATCAAAGAAAGAACATTTTAAACTCCATAACTGTACGAAAAATACGTTCCTATAGATTTCACAAATTCTCGCAAAACTTTATCATTTTAATTAAACGGAATTGCGCGTGAATCCTAAAGCATCCATATTACCATTCTACCAACATCAAAAAAAAAAAAAAAATATAATCTTAAACCAGTCTAACCTCTAAATTTCCAATGACATTTATAGCGTCTCTAATAACGTTCACACGGTATTGCGGACAAACCTTAAAGTTTCGTTCGCGTTGCAGTCGTACCAACATTGGAACAGTATAAACCCAAATTCGAATGAACTCAAATTACTTTCAAATTACTTTCATCCTTCACGAGTGGTAAGCTCCTAAAGGAAGTCCCACGCTATCGGCCATCTTTTACAAGCGTGCCAACCCACCGAAAAAAAGGTTGGTCCGCGTGGTTGAGTCATTAAAACAAACGACATCCAATCGTGAACGATGAGCATCGGTGTCCGTAGCGTGGTTGGCAATTCATATTGTTCAGATCGCGTTTTAAT